CATATTGTCTTCCTAATTATTTAAGTTATATACGAAACACCGGACTGGAGGAATCGCAAGGTGGAATTAAGATTGCCGGAAGAAATAGCAACAACCTCAGATATGCAGATGATACCAATCTGATGGCAGAAAGTGAGGAGGAATTAAAGACCCTCTGAATGAGTGTGAAAGAAGACAGCACAAAAAATGGTTAGAAGCTCAACATCCAAAAAATTAAGATCATGGCCACTGGCCGCTCACCTCCTGGCAAACAGAAGGGGAAGATATGGAGGCAGTGACAGATTTTACCTTCTTGGGTTCCATGATCACTGTAGATGGTGACAGCAGCCATGAAATTAAAAGACATCTGCTTCTTGGGAGGAAAGCGATGACAAACCTCGACAGCATCTTAAAAAGCAGAGAACACCTTGCTGACAAAAGTTTGCATAGTCAAGCTATGGTTTTTCCAGTAGCAATGTATGGAAGTGAGCGCTGGACCTTAAAGAAGGTGGACCGTCAAAGAACTGATGCTTTTGAATTTTGGTGCTGGAGGAGACTCTTGAGAATCCCGTGGACTGCAAAGAGATCAAAACTATCCATTCTGAAGGAAATCAACCCTGAGTGCTCACTGGAAGGACAGATCCTGAAGCTGAGGCTTCAGTACTTTGGCCATCTCATGAGAAGAGAAGACTCTGTGGAAAAGACCCTGATGTTGGAAAGTGTGAAGGCAAGAGGAGAAGGGAACGACAGAGGATGAGATGGTTGGACAGTGTCATCGAAGCTACCAACATGAATTTGACCAAACTCCGGGAGGCAGTGGAAGACAGGAAGGCCTGGCATGCTCTGGTCCATGGGATCACAAAGAGCCGGACATGACTTAATGACTAAACAACAACAAATAATTTTTAAAATGTTTAACTTATTATGTTTTTAATTCTATTCTTTCAATATTGTGAGCCGCTTTGGGTCCCCTTATCAGGACATACACAACCTATAAACAAACCAAACAAACAAATATTATCTAAATGATTCTATTATTTTTATTATTAACAGCAGATCTACAGTTATTTTTTTCATGTGCACAAGAACTTGTGCCCTGTCATTCTGGTGCAAACAGTGTACGTATCTAACAACCGTTTAACACCAATAAAATGCAGTTTGATTACTGAACAGAAACATTAGAATAAAACCAGACAAGTGTAGCAGATAAAACAGTGATGAAATATTTTTTTGATAAATATGCAAGTAACATGTGGGGGGTCAAGGGATTTTCAGCGCAGCAGAAGGCAGGAGCCCAGGTATTGCCCTTGTGACGCTTCATGCCACCTCTCATTCAACTGATCACAAGTTATTTGGAGAGAGGGGAGCGGCAGATGTAACTGAATTCCATTTTTTTTTTTTTTTGGTTACACACAATATCTAACTAGCAATTGCGACTGTCAACAACCGTACTGTTCAAACTCTGCAAATACATATATGTTCTGGACACAGCTTATGCTATGCTAGTTAGTGACAAAAAGAAAGGTTGATCCTATAGTACCATAATCGTGGGTTAATCTATCTCTGCTCCCATTGATTAATTTAAAGCCTCAATATTTTTTCAAGACAAAACACCATGTATCACTTATATACCGCTATTTGTAGCACTGGGTGATCACTTTTTAGTGGACTCTAAGAGTGTATACAGTAAAAAAGGGAGCATCTCCCCTCCTTTGCTGAGTAGCTGCCATATGTTTTCTGTTTTTAACACCTGTGTTTCAAACAGTGCTCAGAAAAACAGCTGCCTTGAAGCTGTAGAACTTAACAGGAAGAGTTGATACATGTTGGGCATGTCAATGTTGTATTCTTCCCAGCGTCCATGTCGAAGATAAGTTTATAATCCTGATTCAGCAAACTGTTGCTTCCTCTTCAGGACACAGAGTTGCATCTGTGCAAGTTTTGTTTATTGCCTATGAACAAACAGTGAATCTTCTGCATTTCATGGCGATACGTGAAAGCCATGCTAATGAAAATGAGCAAATCAGACTAGAGTTAGCAAATAGCTCAAACATGAGGAGCAGGTGAGTGGATGGAGATGAACTAAAAATGCATTTTGCTTGGCATTGCCATGGTGACAAAAGATCACTGGGGACAAGTTAAGAGTGTGTTTTTTCCAGAGGAAGTACATGGAGTTGGTTGCTCAGAGATACAGCCTAAATCTATACTACTT